TTTTCCAGTGCCCTTTTCATTTCTGCGTTGGCTGTTGCTTCTTGATTGCATTTGCTTTCTGTCTGGATTCGTCATTTGTCTGGGCCTGTGAGGCTCTGTCGCTGATCGCGCCCGTCTCTGCGTGTCTGTGAAGGTCATCAGAGTGGCCTCTTCTTGTATGACAGTGAACCTGGGTAGAATTCCTGGTTAACAGATATTTTTTTTCAGCACTTTAAAGATTCTGTTCCGCTAACTTCTAGAATAAACCCCACTGATAAAATGTTCACTTTCTGTCTAGAATGTTCCTTTGTAGACTGTGGGTCATTTCTCTCTGATAGCCTTACCCGCTAAAGAAGGCAGCCAACCTGGAGAGTGTGGATCTATATTAACACAACTTCAAAGTGTCTTTTCCTTTGAGGGCGGGCAGCTAAAACATATTTGAGACATCTCCAGGACAGTGTTACCTGTACTTTATTCATGGATAGCATTAGGTGGACAGCTCCCAGAGGCACACCACCCACTGGCCACTGGCCTGGCAGATTCTGCCACCCTTATGCTGTAAACCAGGCATCTCTGATGCAAACTGAGTACCCAGGAATACTTCTATCTGGTTTGTTTTAAAAAAAAATCATTTCTGTCCCAGTTTGCTTTCTGTAGCTATGATAAATGTCATGACCAAAAGACAGTTGAAGAGGAAAGGGCTTCTTGGGCTTTACAGGTCACAACCCATCAGTGAGAGACATCAAGGCAGGAACTCAAGGAAGGAGCTATAGCGGAAACCATGGAGGAAGCTCCCTACTGACATGCGTTTGGGTGGCTTGCTCCACCACCTTGTTTACACTGCCCAGGCCCACCTGCCCAGATACGCACTGCCAATCCTGGGCTGGGCCCTCTGATGTCAATTAGTAATCAAGAAAACGAGCCTGCAGACACACCCACGGGCCAATCGGATGGGGGCAATTAATTCCTCGGGTGAGATTTCCTCTTCCTAGCTGTGTTAGATTGTGCCAAGATAACAAAAACAAATAATCAACAAATTAACTGTGACAATAACCTTAAACTGTACATGCTCAGCACTATGCATTCTAACATTGTAACATAGCATGTTCGAGGGTGCGCCTGCCCTAGAAGTGTTTCCTGGTGAGAATAGTAATGGCTGCCAGAAAACAATCCCCACATGTCCTTTGTTCCAGGGTGGCTTTGCTTTGGAGCTGATTCCTGCAATCTTCTTAGCTAACTGCAGTCAAGGAATCTTTTCTCTATTCTTTTAAAAATGTGTTTTTTAAATGTTCTATTAGTACATATTAATTACACACACTAACAGGTTTCATCATGGCATTTTTATACATGTTCATCATGTATTTTGATCGTATTTTCTTTCACATCCATGTACTTGCTCATGCTTTCTGTCCTCACACACGTAACACACACATGTATACAAACTCTCACACACATTCACAAATACACAAAACACGCATAGTCATATACACTCATTCACATTCACACACATACACAAACATGTATGCACACTCACATGCACATATACAAACATACACACTCACATATACTCACACACATACACACACTCTCACAAACACACACATACACCACACATTCCACATACACATTCAACACTTATTCACCCACACACACATTTGCAAACATAAGCACACATACATACATGAACACCCACATGCACACTCATACACACATACACACACTCACACATTTACTCTTACACTCACACACATACACACTCACACATTTACACACACTCTCACACACACACTCTTTCCCCGTGTACACACTACCTTCGCACGTCTCTTTTAGCTTTCCGCTGTGTTTGTTTCAGCTGTGTGCTCACCAGCCTATAAACCCACAGCATTCTGTTGCAACAGCACTGAAATTGTCCGCATTCCTCACCAACATTCTCGCGTTTCACCAAGACTTGTCCAGCTACAGAATTAATTCTCTATATTTTTCTTAGTACCAAAGTAATGCCTTAATTAGGAGAGCTTGTGGCTTTGCCAAGTGCTGGAATATTCTTCTCTGTAACTCTTCAAATGAAGAGTCACTCTGAAGTTTCTTCTGTTTTTCTCAAAGCTCTGCTGGTGCCTACTGCAGGTTCTTCACCTCGCTGGCCTGGCCATGGCCTCTCTTCTCTCCCAAGTCGCTGAATTCTCTGTCTCCTGTCATACACACTGCATGGTAGGACCTGGACTTGCTAGGTTCATCTGTTTGCTCAGTCTAGTCTAGAATTTATCCTATATGTCCTATTTTTAAGTATAGAGCCATAATCCTTATTTATCAGGTTTCTAATAGTCATGAACCTCCTTTATTCATTTATCCCTGGTTTGTGTTTTATCATGTTTCACTAATTTTTGTGAGGATTTCCCCCACCTACCTTTAATACTCCCGAATAAAACTATTTTAAAAATCTCTTCGTTGGCTTGTGTTATTATTCAATGCAATTAATTCAATTGATCTTACTACTAGTGATTTTCTTTTCCAGAGTTGAAGTTTCTAGGTTTGCTCTAAGGTTATCTTTTCTGGGATTCTCTGTCCCTGCCAGCTTCCTCTTCTTTTCTACCATCCCCACCAATCCTGCAGTCCAGACCGGCTCTCAGGAGGACCTGAGAGGCACGGCAGCCGTGCATGGGAGTCAGTCTACAGAGCCAGCCACAGATGCGACGTCGCTTCTGTCCATGTTCTGCTCAAGAGCGGCGTCCAGACCTTCCTGCTTTCCCTCCAAGTCCGCAGCCACAGTGTCTTCCAGGCTTCTTTTTCACACTCAGCGAGACCCGTCTAGTTCTGCTTTTAGACAGAGACTGAGCTTCCATTCCCTTGCCGTCTAGAATTCCTAGTTTTTGCGGGTCCCAGGTATTCTGCGTTAGTCCAACCCTGCCCTCTTGGGCCAAGATCCACACAGACTAGCATCTGTGAGTTCCCATTACACAGCTGTGGCTAATGAGACAGACGCCTTCAAGCATGAACTATCGGCAATACCAAGTCCATTTAGCTTCCTGTTGGCAGACTCTCCCTAGACGCTCGGTTGCAGCCTCAGCAGCTCCAGACAGCACTTCCTACTGGGCCGTAGATTCCCATTAAGTTATACCCTGCGTGCACAGTCTTTCCTGAGCCCCTAACTTCCTCTACCACCCAAAAGTACCCGACTTCCTGATTCCACCCACAGAACAGCTGAGCAGTTACACTTAACGGAAGGGGCAGTGGCAGGTGTGATTTCTGTGGATTTTATTGTCGTTTTGCTTTGATTTTTTTTTTCTTTTTTGACACATAGTCTCTCAATAGATCTCATTCTGGCCTGAAACTAGCAATGTAGTCCAGGCTGGCCTCAAACTCTTTATCTTCCTGGTCTCTCAATTGCCAGTGTTAGCGTCCTGTGCCACCATGCCTGGCTATGGTTTTGTCTGCAGTTGGCATCCGGAGATAACAATACAGGAAGCTGTTCTCCTAAACCGACTTTACCACCCATGACGCAGGGATCCACTGCCCTCTTCAGTGGAGTACTCCACAGATTGCTGTTCCCGTTTTGTTTTCTTGCAGAATTTTTTTCAGTTATGTAAATGTCATAACTAAAGGTTTTAAGAAATTGGGAGCTATTTAAAGAAGGAAGCACAGTTCCCTGACCCAAACGAAGCCTGGTGCAACTGTACCCCAACATCTGGCATCTACAGCTGCCTACCACTGCCACCGTGCCCAAAAGACGAGCTAAAAAGAATGTTAGGGTGGCTAAAGCCGCGGTGACGGATGGGCCATGAGAGCTGCATGTCTGTCTGCTGGATCTGCTCCTCCAGTGCCAGAGACCAAGTCTAAAAAGACCCCAGCAAAGAAGAGAGGGAAGATACTCAAAGGGCCACAGGGAGAAGCTGCAGCTGGGAGAACGGGAGCAACCCTGCGGGCAATGGAGATGTCCAGACAGACCGGGCACAGAAAGAGAGAGACGCTGGAGATGGCAGAGGACATGTGCACTTTTGAGAACTGTGGACTACTGGGAAGTGTACCGTTTGAAAGATCATTTTTGTAAAATCTGTGAAGATGTAGGATTTTATTTTACTTTTTGTTTTCAAGCTGTGTTGATGTTAGCACGCAGAGAACTTCACTGTTTGGAGGGAGGAATACATGTCACTTCCAGAACATCTCCTAAGCTGGATTGATGTGAGGTTAACACCTTCCTGGCTAGGTTTGAAAGACTCCTCTTAGCTCCCCGAGGGGTTCTCTGATGTAGGCACACCTGGCCAACCTGGCACAAACTGCCTTGTGGTGTAGGAAAACCCAAAATTTATTTTTCTGTCCATCCCTTCCACCATCCACATAGACTTCATTCTGTTAAAACCAGAATCTTCTGGGGCCGGATCCCTAAAGTTGGTACTCTCAGTGTGTCAGGGATGTGGACTTCACGGTGACACTAGTGGATGCTCTCAGTGTGGCAGGGGATGTGGACTTCACAGTGACATTGGGTGATGCTCTCAGTGTGGCAGGGATGTGGACTTTGTGGTGACACTAGTGGATGCTCTCAGTGTGGCAGGGGCTGTGGACTTCGCGGTGACATTGGTTGATGCTCTCAGTGTGGCAGGGAATGTGGACTTTGCAGTCATGAGATGTGAACCTGGGAGAATAGTAGCTCCTTTTCTAATAGACTGGGGGTATTCAGGGACATGAATCAGCCATTTTCAGTTCGTCTCCTGTGAGTCCGGATCTGCTGTGAAAACACGTTAATCAGGATGCTTATGTGGGATGCAAGCCCTTATTCTAAACTGTTCAGTGCCCCCATGTGAAGACTCCCTTGGTTTCTGTGGCGGCTCTCTGGTTTAGGTACCCATACGAGAGAGTTCAGAATTTCCTGTATTCTGTTCATAATTGCCTACCACCTTCTGGCTGAAGTGCCGGGACTGTTCCCATGAAGGATCTTGAAAAAAGCTGTGTATAGTTTGCCTTGGGAAAAAATAAAGCCGTAGAGATTGTATTCATTGGAAAATGATTTATTTAGATTTTTTTTTAGAATATCCATTGGTCTTAAAGTAGAAATCAGGTGTTTAGAAAAACGGTTGCTTCTGCAGGCATGGCTATATTCATACATAGAAGGTTCATTTTCACAAATGGCCAAGGGTCTTCCTGGGTGCTGCCCCTAATTAATTCACAAGCCCACATGAACATCATCAAAAGACTCTTTGAGCAGATGATAAAAATAGGACAAGATGGGTGGATTTATTTTTAATTAAAACCACATCAGTTATTGTTGTTGCACTCCTAAGTGGCCTTTAGTAACAGCAAATTAATATCGTGTATGCACGTCACAGACTCACCCCACAGCGCACAAGACTTGAGGTCATCAGATGAGCAAAGAACTTCAGGCTAAGTAGCAATAGACAACACCCTGGCATTCCTTGCCATTCTTGCCCTTTCCAACAAGACATTTAATGAGGAAATACGAAATATCCCAACTTGCGTTTAGTCTCCTTCGTTTCCCTTCTTCTGCACACGTCAGTCAGAAGTTGGCAGCAGGAAAACTCGATGTCTGTGGCACTAAAAAAAAGGGGGGGCCATTAGCACCTCGCTTTGCTCTTTACCTGTCTTCATTCAGAATTTAAGGAGAGGCATTGGGCTGGTGTTTCCGGAAGGCAGTCAGATAAAGAAATTAGATACGGTAATACAATAAAGCCAGCACACACACACACACAAATATTCTGAAAGAGCCATTGGAGACCGAATACATTGTTGCTAGATTCAAATTCCTAGATTCAAAGAGAGCTGGTTTCCATGCAGACTCCGTGAGTATTTGTTCATAATCTACAATTTATGGCTAACTGTGCTCTGACCTCTAGAATTTTTTTTATTAATATTCCATCTTTCTTCTGAAACAGGAACTTCGCTGGCCATTCTTAATATTGTACTTTACTTGGGGCTGTCAGTAGTCATTTCCTTGTGGTTAGAGAGACAAATAGTCTCGTCCTTTCTCGGAGGGTCACCATGCCTCTGCCTGACCCTCTCTGGGGAAAGAGACTTGGTGTAGATGGAGAAGCCGGGCAAGCGACAGGAGTTTGAAAAGTGTGCAGAGGAAGGGGGAGAGACATGAAAGCAAGAACTCGGTAGCCATGGTCGCCTTCATGGACTGTTTGCAGCATGGTGTCCTTATTCATAGTTCATCAGATGGCAACACATGCCCTCAGCTGGGCACTCATGGGCTCCTCTGGTGGGCCCTAAAGGACACAAAGTGAGGACCATTGTAAGATGATACCCATCAAAGCGAAGTGGCCTGAATGGAGAGGGTGTGGCCTTGAGTCCTGCACTCCCAGCAGAGTGGGGAATGAGAAAGGAAGATACTTCCCTGTTGTGTTGACGTCCAGGCTGATTTTCTGCAGATAAATCCTTGCACCCTGTTACCTAGTACAAACCCTAGGGCAGTGATGACAGAAACAGCAACACGGAGGCATCCTCCTCCAGGTGCGGACTCCATCTTGCTCCCATTCCTGGTACTCTTAGCTGACACTACCCAGTAGCTTCAAGCTTAATCCCCAAGCTTTAGAGAAAGAAATTGGAAGACACCAGGGCTTTAGCGTCTTGCAGTTGCATCCCCCTGGGAGCTTATTAAAGTTCACGGAGTTTCAGACGCCCTCCCAAACCCGCTTTTATTTTGCCAGGTTCTCTGTGATTCCTATACACAGAGAAAATGTGAGGAATGTTGATTTAGGAGCACTGAGGTGAGGAGCAGCTGTCCACCTGGGAAGCAGAGTCTTTGCCTCCCTGCCTAAGACCGAGCAACTGTGCCCCTTCAGGTTCCCATGTTGAAGCCTAATCCCTACTACGGTAGCGGTAGCGGTAGCGTCAGAAGGCAGGCCTTCGTAGAGTGGCGACTGGGGCGAGAGCCAGAGACCTCCAGAGTGGGATTGTGGCTTTATAAAAGGGACCGCTGGGGCCTCGCTAGTCCCTTTCTACCGTGCAAAGAAGACACAGTCAACAAGGTGACTGTGGACCAGACACCGAATCTGCCAGCACCTTGATCTTGGAATTTGCCGGCACTCCCAAACTGTGAGAACCGGACTCAGTTGGTTTACGAGGTAGCTGCTCTGTCTGTTGCCCCGTCCATCTCTTTTCTCACTCCCCACCTGGACAAAAACTGAATGTAACAAGAAATAAAGGAGGACCACATAGCTCCAGGAGCCATGGAGGCTCAAGGAGTTTAGATTCCTCCAGAACTGTCAACTGCTCAGCTTTCAGCCAGGAAGAATTACAGACGCTGTCTGGAAGTCCTGGCCCACGCAATCTGTTACTTATCTTTCTGTCTTTGCCTATTTGGTTTTCAAATTTCCTCTTAAGTCACCTAATCTCTTCACCTAATCTCTGCCTTACATCTTACCTGTCACGCTCCTTGCTGTAACTTCTCGTTTTTGCAAGTTCCTATCAGACGCTTGAACGACAAAATTTTATGTTTATTTTTGGACAAGTTTGGACCAACATCTTAAATTAACCTATACACCAAAACAACGTACGTTCCCGCACGCGTGTAGGATATGAGTGTCCATGAATCTGCATGTGACGTGTGACAATGGTAAGGTAGGCATCGAGACGTTTTTCATGTGTTAACTTGAGAGGCTCTAGGACGCAGAGCCTACACATGTGTGTGACCACACAGGACGTCCTTTAAACTCAACTAACTGGCTAGAATCCCTATCGTTGAAATGAAAGCAAATGAGGGACTCTGTAGATGGGGAATGTATAGTCCTCCATACCCTGCCTGAGCTGCACAGGTATCTGCAATGACCTATTTGTTGTAAACTCAGACGACTGAGAGTCCTTTCTTCTTCCCTCCCTCCCTCCCTCCCTCCCTCCCTCCCCCCCCCCCCCCCCCCCCCCCCCTGCAGCAGCATCAGAAACTTCTGTCCACCCATTCTCTCTCTCTCTCTCTCTCTCTCTCTCTCTCTCTCTCTCTCTCTCTCTCCCTCTCTCCCTGAGTGGGATAGGCATTAAGCCTTTATAATTTGCTACATCTTGCCTGTCTGTTCGTGAGAGGTGCACTCAGATCATAAGGCTGCAGAGAAGATCCAATGAGAGTCATCGTGCACTAGGGTGGGGAGGAGAGAAGATGTTCAATGAATTTTTTCTTTAGTTTAGTGGGTTTTTTTTACTGTTTGTTTAGGGCTGACCCTCAATACATCACCACAGTCCACAAAGTACTGAGAACCTGGGAGGAGATGATGAATCCAGCATCAGAAATGAGTGACAAGTGCACCCACTCCACAGACGGAGTCACAAAGGTCAGTGCCACAGCCTCGTGGGCGCAGAGCCCCACGCAGAGGCTCCCAACCCCTTCCCACCTCCTTGTGCTTCATACTGTGACTGCTCATGGAAACTCAAAATGCCCTTCCATGAGGATTTTTAGTGGGCATAGGAACTGAAGACCCCCCCCCCATCAGGGTAGTTTAACTGTCTTGGCAAACACCAAGAGGAAAAAGGACAGGGGCATCCCTGACTTGGAAGAAGTCCTTCAGTCTCCATTAACAAAATGATACTGGGCTCCAAAGTCACAGGTATGCCTGCAGGTCGATGCTCTCCTGATGATGCAATGGCATTCCTGACCAAAAGCAGACTAGGGGAGAAAGGGTTTATTTTAGTTTATAGGTCTAGAAAAGGTCAAGTATTCCCACACTGGAAGCAGAGAGAACAAAAAAAATGAGCTCCGACTATAAAACTCAAAAGTCCATCTCCAGTGACATACTTCTTCTAGCAAGGCTCTACTTTCTAAAGGTGCCATAGCTTCCCCCAAACAAGGCTACCCAAATTATTGAACCCATGGAGTGGGTGACAAGCTCATTCAAACAAGAGCAGCCATCTTCCCTCACCAATGTGGTCATCTAGGATTTCAGAGACCCTGCTTTGAAAGACCTCCAGCGTGTGTCAGTGAAGATCTGTTTCAATCCATGCAATCCTCAAAATACTAAATGTAAAGATCAATAATTTGAAGTGTGAAGAAGAAGAAGAAGAAAGTGTGCTGGTAATAATGGACCACTCTTACAAGAACATCGCCATTCCCAGAGGGACCACAGCTTCAAAGAGTTGACCCGTGGAGTCTCAAGGAAAGGAATTCTTTCATGTGGAAGGAGAGAAGAGAGGCTTGGACTTCAGAGGAGCTGAAGGTGAGGTGGCTGCATTTGGTCCATCCTCTTGATGCTTTGATGCCATAGTACAAGCTTTGGGTTAAGGTCATTCCTCTAAGTGTATTGCAGGGAAGGATAGATGGGTGGATGAATGGATGGATGGGTGGATAGGTGGATGGATGGATGGATGGATGGATGGATGGGTAGATGGGTGAATGGCTGGATAGATGGATGGATAGATGGATGGATGGGTGAGTGGATGGATGGGTGAGTGGATGGATGGATGGATGGATGGATGGATGGATGGATGGATAGATGGGTGAATGGGTGGATAGATGGATGGATGGATGGATGGATGGTTGAATGGATAGAGTAAGTGTGTGTGTGGGGGGGGGGGGGTTAATAACCTGAGCTGGATCGTGGAAATACTGCTACCTGGCTCACTTAACAACCTGTTTAGAGCACCTAATAAAACTTCATTATGGCTCAGCCTCTGGCCTCATTCACCTTTTAACTTTTGCCTCATCAACTTATTAAATCACCCAAGTCAATGAGAACCTACCAAATGTTTTCCTGTTTCCACTCATCTTCATGGCTACCAATGGTTTTGTTTCTCTTCTCTCTCCTCTCTCTCTCTCTCTCTCTCTCTCTCTCTCTCTCTCTCTCTCTCTCACACACACACACACACACACACACACACACTTTTTCTTTCCCTCCTTCCCTCCCTCCCACCTTCTCTCCTTCCCTCCCTCCTTCCCTCCTCCCCTCCCTCCTCCCCTCCCTCCCTCACCTTGCTCCTTCATTCTTCCTGTCATTCCAGGGATCCATGTTCCTTCATGAGCTTATCCAAGCACCCTCTCAAAGTATTCCCTGTCCAGGGTTTTGTCATCATCATATCCAGAAAACAGTAAGTTACTGTGAAGGCCGAAAAAGTCCCCTCTCTAGTCGGCTGCTTCAAGGGTCTCCGGGTGGTTCCTCTGATGGGATCGGCTCACTCCCCATCAGAATGTACTAAGGAAATAATAAAGTGTAATATAGTTAATGCCAAAATCCACAATGCTCTGGGTTTCCCACCATTTCTTTGGAGTGTATAAAGAGACTCTTGAATAATGCCCTCCTCTAGGATCTCAGCCTGGGGTAGGGGGTTGGGGAGGATCTAACTGTGTCTCGGAAACAGCTTCCTCAGGAGTTGAACATACTAGGGAGATTACCAGCACAGCAACAGTTTCAGCTGGTTCTCTGAAACTAAGATTAAAGCCACAGAGAAAATTCTCTGTGAGAACCAACTTCCTCCAATTATTGTAGTTCATTTCGCTTCATTTTAGTGTGTGAGGTCCCGGGGGTTGAACGGAGGGCCTCACTCCAGGAAAGCACCTTCCCATGAAGCTATAAGCATAGTCCTTCCACTTAGTTGTGTAGACGAGACCACTCCTGGCACACCTTTGAATGCCCCAAGCTCCCTTCTTCCCTCTGGCCAGAGAACCAGTAATAAGCAGTGCTTGCTTAGTGCACTGTGGCGATATGCACACAGAGAGACATTTTTCCAGGAACTTTGTTCGGTTTCAACTATCTCTTCCAGTAGTTTATTTGTAGCCATTAAATGGGAGAAAGTAGAAAACATACCGCTTAATTACACAGACGTGAAGAATAGTCTCTCAATGCTGTTTTCCGTTTCTGTTCCCCAGGTTGGTTGGAAAGGCATCTGGCCTGTGCGCAGTGTGTGTATGACGTGGGACCGCACGCCATAGCTTTGCACCAGCAGGGACTGAAATATCCCCTCTTCAGGATGATTGCTAGATTTCAGAGTGAATCACCGGCTCTGTAATTCACTCTGGAGCTCCGAGAGACTACTCCCAGTGCCACCAGGTAGAAGCGCTAAGTGGCAGCCTGATTCTGTTATGAACTGCTTCCTCCCTCGCGAGAAGAGAGAATCAATCTATCTGACTTTAAGTTCACTGATCTAATCAGGAGGGCTTGAAAGTGATAACCAGAGAGGAGGGGGTATCTACTCAAGAAAACAGAGCAACCGGATGCTGGGAAAGATGGCAGGCCAGTCACAATGAATCAGAAAACAACAGAGGAAGTTCTCGGTAGTTACCGAGGAGGAAGAGATCAGATGTTTCCATATCAGTGGGCAAATCAGGGAAACAAGAAGAAATCAACTCGAGTTTCAGTGAAAGAAAGTAGAGGAGCTCAAAGAATAAAACCAGCAACAGAGTAAAGGCAATGGAAAGCTGTATTCTTGAAAACAAAGTCTTAGCCAACTCTAACAGGTGAGCATCAACAAACAGATCCTAAAATTTATATGAAGTTTTCATTCCAAAGACCCAAAGGGGCCAACAATATTGAAGGTAAGAGAACAAAGTTCGGAGGACTGGAATTTGACTTACAAAACAAGCGTGGAAAAAGTTGGGGCTGGGGCTCAGTTGGCAAGGTACCTGTGCCCAAGCGTGAGGACCTGAGTTCAGAACCCAGCACCCACGTAAAAACCCTAATGTGGTAAAGTAGTGTACGTCAGTAACTCTAGGGCCGGGCAAAGCTGGTGGTTGGCTTGGAGATGGGCAGATTTTGAGAGCTCATTGGCCAATCTATCAAGCTGAATCCATAAGCCCCAGATTCTGTGAGAGACTCGTCTCAGAAAATAAGGTGGAGAACCATAGAGAGAGACATCCGATGTCAACTTCAGGCCTCTACAACCATCTATCTGTAACTCCATTTCCTCAGAATCTAATGCCCTTTTCTGGCTTCTGAGGGCACCGTACACACATGCTACAGAGACATACATGATGGCAAGACACCCATACACATAACAGGAAATAGGAAAAAAAATGTTTTGAAAGAAAGTTCAGAATTCAGCTAGGGAGTTGACTCAGTAAAGCTCTTGTCACACAGTGTGGGGACCTGAGTTAGGATCACCAGACACCACATGAAACTAGACGTGGTGGAGTGTACCTGTAATCCCAGTCTTCCTTCAGCCAGATAGGAAGCAGAAGCAAAGGTCCCCAGAGGCTCGCCTGGAGCAAACAAAAGACCCCGAGTCAAAGAGGGTGAAAGCAAGGGCCAACACCCAAGTTGTTCTCTGGCCTTCACATGTGGCACGGGCATTGCCTCCCCGCCTCCAATATACTGATACATTTTTAAAAAAAATTTAAAGGTCAAAATTCCTCTTTGTCACAATGGTTCATTTGCCTGACTTTGTTGGGACAAAACATGCCCCGATTTTTAATAGAGGGATTTAGTGTCTGTGATCTGGCACTGGCCTGTGTGTGTGTGCAAGCACACACTTCAGTCATTGTCTGGCGTCTGCATAAGATGAACACATAGATCGTGGGAGTGGGAGGGTTTGAAGGGGAGGCCTGTGGCCTGTGGGTGAGGAATAGTTTCCACACTCACCTCTTGGAAAGCCAGAAGCCTCCTCCACAGCAGAGTTTGCAGAGTTTGGGAGACGGCCTAAATAGACCCTAAACGCAGTGAACAAATGCCGTGAGTTGCTTTCAGAGGCATCATAGACATCAAGTCCTGTGGACGGTCCGATACAAGTGGTATCCCGAAGTCCTTGCGTCTGGTTTGTAGACTCCATTTCCTCCCATCTTTGTGAGTATTACAATTGACCTGTTAGCTTTTTTTTTTTTTCTTTCTGGGGTTGAGGTCACATTGATTTGTGGAGATCAGAGGACAACATGAAGCAATCTGTTCTCTCCTTTACCATGTAGGTCGGGGAATTTGCTCAGTTTTTCAGGCCTGTGGCAAGCACCTTAGCCTGCTGAGCCATCTTGCCAGCCTTCACCTGTTACTTCACTGCCTCGAAGCTATCGCCTATGGGATATTTGTCATATGCCATCAGAAAAGTGCCGGGAGGAAACAGGAGACCTGCCTGAGGGATAAGCCACAGCTCAGAGAGTTCTGGTTCTTGTTGGCGTGTCCACATAGTGAGGCTGTAACTGAGATGCCCTGGGTAAAAAGAAATTCAATCCAACACTAGCTGAATCTCATCACTTCCATTTCGTAAGGCCCAACGGCATGGAAGGGGTCCTAACAGACCTCTCTGAGGCCGAGATGGCTGTCGGGGCACATGCTTGCCGGGCAAGCATGAAGTCGGAATTCAATCCCCAGCATCTGTGTAAGTTAATTTTCTTCTTAGAAAGGCAGGTTTGATAGTGTTTGCTTGAGGAGGTTAGAGGCAGGAGGATCCCTGGGCTTATTGGAGGGCCAGCCTAACCGAATTGATGAGTTCCGGGTCTCAGTGAGAGACTATCATAAAAAAACCATTAGATGCCTCTGAAGGAACAGCACCTGAGGTCGTCCTCTGGGCTCCACGCATGTGTACAAACAGATATGTGTCTTCATACATACATGCACACACATACAATTGTCTCCCTATAGACATGCACAGACATGTACACATGCCTCCATACAAACATGCGCACACATACATGTGCCTCTGTATATACATGCACACACATACACGTCTCCATACATGCATGCACACACGTACACATGCCTCCATACGTGTGTGCACACACATACATGTGCCTCCTATACACGTGCATACACATACACACACATGTGCAATCCACACAAACACACATAAGATCTTTCCAACCAACCACAATAAATGGCACTAGCTGAGCCTTGCTAGGACTCCAGGTGGTTGTATTTCAGATCATTTAGCAAGTTCAAAGAATTTCCGAAAAGTTCAGTCATACTGATAGTGAAGTTGTCCAGGGTTACAGGAACAGATTCTTTTCCTCTACAGATTTAAAGAAGAAAAAGCAGTTTCAGTACTCAGAGTTTTATTGAAAGCAGAACTGCCCACACGCACACACAGAGAGTCACACACACACACACACACACACACACACACACACACACACACACACACACCCAGTGGTACACAGGGCTTGGTATGGTTGAGGTTTGGGGAGAATCCAGACCTGGGAATCCAGCTTTGTCTGGCAGAGACAAAACTTTTATAAATCTTTGAGGGTGAGACGGGAGCTCTTCTCCCCTCAAGGAGAGGAAAGGAAGCTGCTTGGGCCCCACCACAGGATCCTCTTCCACGGGAGGTTTGAAAGTCCCAATGAATAGTTCTTCCTGGTGGGAAAAACCCATGAAGTCTCTGTCTTGGAGAAGCAGGAAGTCAGTCACCCTAAATATTTTAAAGGAAAACTACAACCATCCACCTACAGCCTCTTTTTCCTGTCTGCCTGCCTGCCAAGAGCCTAACGTCCAGTACCTCGGTAATAAAATAAAGGTTGTATGAACCAACTAGAGCCCCAAGAAGAAGATAAAATTAACAAGTTTTGACCCAACATTTTCAAAATCTATTTTTAGGCAAGGAAAGAAAACCTGATTTTCCTCAGCAGGTGAACAATATCTTTGGGAAGCAGTCTGTAGCTTTTTTTTTTTTTTTTTTTTTTTTTTTTGGCCGATTTTAACAAGTGGGGCCCATTATTGTTGCAACAACCTATTTAACAGACAGAAAGAATGGGGAGGCTGGTGGCCCCTGGTCTTCACCATGTCAGAAGCCCCCGCAGGGGAAAGGACTGATGTATGACCAGTACGGGCTTGCACTAAAAAGGAAGTACCCAAGGGAGGCAGGTCAGAAAGAGGGAAAAGCAAGAAGCCCGGGGAAGGAGGATCCCTCTACATGGAATCTGCTTGAAGCCCCTTGCCAGCTGAGACTGCCCTATAGGCAAAAGTATGACAGAGATGTGTCTCTCTGGTTGCCCCCGCCACCACCACTGGCCAAAGGGCAGCACTTATTGAGCGTAAAGTGTGTACGGGTCAAACCCTATGCTTCCAGCACTCTGCATTGCTTGATTCCTGATGGCCTAGTTTGGTAAGTACAGTTTGTATCTTCCATCTGTAGCTGAGGGAAGTCATTTGCCTAAGGCCATGTAAGTAATCAATGAACTTCAGAGGTTTTAAGTTCTTAGATCCAGAAGGGAAGAACACCCAAAGATTGACGGTGATGAAATTCTGACTCAAACATGGATGTCACAGTGCTCAGAAAACAATGGAGCATAGTCCAACACCACGGGCTCTTTTCATTTCTCTAACATTGGCTGTGCAGCCCACAGTTTGGGCACCTCAGCTTCCCCTCCAAGAGGATGTTACAATATAGAATCACAGACCTTCTGACCCAGAATCCATCAGCACAGCCAGAGACCTGCAGGCTCCAGCAGGTTTGAGAACTGGGTTGGCCTGTTTGAATTGTAGATGCTGTTCCTGTAGGCTGGAGCGCTCTTCCCCGGGATTCTCATGCTTGCCGTAGTAATATCTTTCTGAAAATCCATCTTGCCTTCATTTGGGAGGCATGGAGGTCCTCGCACTTAGATAAGCACTAGGGAACCAGGAATATTAAACACACAGGATTGTCTTTCCAAAGGGAGAGATCGATGACCTGTTTTCCACCCACAATGCTGGGAGCAGACATGGTTAATAACCTCCCCCAAACCCTTATCTTGAGCATGCGTTCCCAGGAAATCTATAAAACCTACCTTTAGATGCCACTTCACAAAGAGTTTTGAAATAGTCATGTTTTAAGCTTCACTGTTTTAAGCAGATGGGACTGAGTTAATTACCACCAGGAAACTGCTTACATGTGCCTAAAATGAACTACTCAAGGTCAGACTTTCATGTTGAACTGAACTGCCTTCTCGTCTCCCTCGGATGGACGCCCTGCTGGTTATGGTGTTTGCAGAGATCCCCTACACCTTCCAAGAAAATGAACTTTTGACAGACTCTGCAGCCAAGTTACTAATATGCCTTGAGATCATTTCAGATTGTGCTCAGCCTGTGTCACTCTAACTGGCTGTGAAGAGTGTCCTCTTGTTATGTCACCACTCTTACTATAATTTACACCTCCCGTGTAATCAGCTTTAATCTCAGAGCATAGCTTTAGTTATGTATTTTTCCATGCCCCAGACCCAGACTAATGCACATGTGTAGGTGTAGGTGTGGGTTGTGGTACTCATTTTCCAGAAGCAGCCAAGTTGAAAGCAACCTCAAACAACAAATACCCTGTACGTTTTGGAAGAGACATGGGCATAGTTGATGTTTGTGATTAGGGGTGCTATTCGGGGTCAGTTGGGGTCAGCAAAGTAAGCTCTTTCATTGTAAAAACTGTTAGATTTCTGTAGAAAAATATTTGCATTTCTTTCTCATACCATATTTTCTGTGCTGATGAATACATACAGAGCTAAGCCCCTTTTTAGGGACAGATAGGCAACAGGAACAAACACAGACTGCACATGACAGGCCACAGACCACAAACTGGACAGACGGAAGCTTAAGGAGAGAAGTGGTGATTTCAAATTTGGATTCCATCTTGAGTCAAACAATTTTTTTTTCATTCTTTAATGTACCATCAATGCAGCTTGCCTTGAGAAGCTTCCTGTGTTCCATCTAAGTAACTTCTTTTGTATGTGTGTTTGTGTCTGTAGAGAGTTGTATGTGTGTAGGTGCACATGTTCATAGGCCGGCAACTGCAAGTGTTGTCTGTCCATCTATCTTGCTTTTTAAGCCGGGAGCTCACTGACCAGCTAGGCTGGGTCATCAGTGAGCCCCAGGACGCACCTGTCTCTGCCTCCCCAATATTGGGCTTGATGTGGGCTCTATGATCAAGCACAAGTTCTCATGGTTATACAGCAAGCACGTTACTACTGAATTATTTACCCTGTGGTATGTTTGTCCCTCAGACACAAGCATCAGCCACCGTTTTTCTTTTTCTCTTTTTGTTTTTGAATTTCTTTTTGAAGACAGTCTCTCACTGGCCTGGATCTCTTCTAGTGGACTAGGCTGTTTGATCAGTGAGTCCCAAGGACGTATCTGTCTGTCTCCTGAGTGCTAACAAGTGTGTACCTCCACGCCTGCAGATCAAACTCTGACCCTTATGGTGCAAGGTACTTTACTGAGTTATCTTCCCAGTCCCCCCCACCCCCACCCCGCAACTCAAATAGTAACTTCTGACACCTTCCATTTGCTTCTCCGGCTTAATCTTTGTTCACAGTGATTATCGCCACCTGAAACTCCAGATTTATCTCTTCTACCGGCTGTACTGGGAGTTCCATCAAGGCTGGGACTGTGTGTCTCTAGCACCTAAGAGAGTGGCAGGGGTCTCAGTACTTGCTCAGTATTTCCATGAGAGATTGTTTTTGATACAGGGCTAGTTAGAGTAGAAACAGCTAACTCCACCAAAGAGATCCCTGAGAAATGGAAGGGACTGAGGGGGAAAAAAAAAAAAGACTTCCCTTCACTTCTGTATTCTCAGCTTTTCAAAGATCTATGTGCCGTCTTATAAATATTTATTCCTCTATTTATGTGTATGCATATCCGCCAGGGAATGTATGTGTGCCATGTGACCACAGGCGCCTGAGAAAGCCAGAGGGCACGAGCTGCCTGACATGGGTCCTGCAAACCAAACCTGCTCCTCTGCACGAGCAGTGAGCTCTCTCAACCAGTGAGCCATCTCTCCAGCTTCCGTGCTGTTTTTATAATTTGCTGAATGCTTTAAATAGCTGCACAAACCATCCCAAAATACATCACAAAAAACAAAGCAGATTGCATCTCCTCCTTCTAAAAGGCTGTAGATTCA